GGGGAGAGCAGAAAAACTGCATCATGACGCTCTCTGACTGGCCCCTAGGGGTCAGTGAATGGTGCATAGAGCGGTAAGTGGCAAGGTTCCAAGCATCTGGGCATCCTGCACAGAAGGAGAAAACTAAAGAGGGCCCCACTTGCTTTCCAGTGAGGACTTCACCTTCCTTCATTCTGGAGTCAGGCAGCCTCCCAGTGAGGGAGATATCCAAGGAAGATGGAGATACCAAAGGCCAATCTGCCTTATCAACCTCACAGGACCAAAGAGGAGAGTCTGCTCAGGGGCACCAGGGAAGTGGGGACAGGGACAGCAGTAGTGAGAGGGGCTGGTGCTTGCTGGGTCTGAATATCTTGGTGATTCTTTAGCCTGAACTGTTGCCAGCTGGGCTACTGGAAGCAGTCTCAGCATTGGGAGCGGATCCTCGCTCTCCCAGGAAACTGCAGTCATATAAAATCCACATACCTCCAGCCTTAATTAGAACCTTGCAATGGCCCCAACCCCACCCTTCCACTCTGGGTCAACAGACCCCACCCTTCCACTCTGGGCCAACAGAGGGAGTCTGGAAAGAAAAGAAGAACTGGGCAGGCTGCCGGCCAATAATGAAAGGACACAGAGTTTCATCTCCCTAGCCTTTCCTCATTTAAGAGTCCTCCTCTCCCTATTTTAAATTTTGATTCAGCTTACAGTAAATTTGATTAAACAATTTTACTTCACCAAGTAAAGGGACCCACTGCATACCCCCCACCCTACCCAGACTGGTAGCATGAGACAGACAGGGCTCAAGAACTGACTAAGAGCCTTTGAAACTCCAATCCCATAAATAGAAGAAGCGTTTGGGGTGGGGCCCCCAGGTTGTCCTGAAAAGCCCGGGCGGATGTGCCAAGGCAGGCCAGGCAGGCGGCCCCTATGCTGCGCTTATCTCCCAAGGGCAGCTGCTAGCTCACACTCCTGGCCTGTGCTTCTGCAGCATGTCTAAAGACTGTCTCTTGATGTGTGCAGTTATGTGTATCTCTATGTGTGTGTGCACTGTGTTTGCCCCTGGATGGGCACAAGGAAACAGGTGTGTTCAGATGGAAAGATATCTATCTATCTCTGTGGTTCAGGTACAGCCCAATCTTCTCTTTCTTCCTTTCATCTTTCTACTGCTACTAGGGCAGCCCTCTGTCCTTCTTCCACTGACCCACTGTCTTCCTCTGAACAGGAAGATATAGCCTGTGCTGAGAGATCTTGGGCCTGGAATATTGCTTCTCTTTTCAAGAAACACTCACTTACCCTTTCAGCCCTTACTCTCCTATGTCTTCCAAGGCAAAGTTGTGTCAGGCTGCCTGGCAAAGTAAGTGCGAACATAACTGTCCCTCCTTGAGGCTGGTCTGAGCTAACTCGATGCTGTCTCCTAGCCCCTGGTCCAATGCATGGCTCTTAGCTGGTCTATAAAGGTTTGTTGACCAAGTGGTTGATGGGCCTGAGCAGGGAAGCAGTAATGCATACCCTTCTGCCATCTGACTTCTTTCCCTTACTGAAAATAAGCTTATGGAATTGGCCCTGGGGCTGGCATGCCACTTCTTCCCTGGATTACCTCTAGTGGCATTGCTCTAAAAAATATAGGAAATATTGGAAAACAATTTGGAATAACCTAGTAAAGTTGATCAGGTGTATACCCTATAACACAGAACTTCCATTCGTGGCAATGTACCTAGAGAAACTCTAGCACACATAGACCAGAAGAAACATAGAGAATATTTTAGAGTAACCCCAAGCTGGTAACGACCCAAATGTCCATCAACACGAGAATAGGGAGTAAATTGAAGTCTTTTCGCACAATGGAATAAAGTACAAGAAAAAAAGTTGACCAAATTACAGCTCTACTTATTAACACAGACAATCTTTAAAAACTATACAATGATGAGCCCACAAAGCAAGATGCAGAAGCATATATTTACTGTGAGTCCAATTGTGGAAAGTTTAAAAACAGGCAACCTAAGCAATACTAAGGATACACACACAGGTAGGAAACCATAAAGAAAAGTGGGGAGAGGACTATCACTAAATTTAGGATGATGGTTCCTTTGGGGAAAATGCATCAGGGAGGGGCGCAGGAGCTTCTAAGCTACTTGGAATATTCTCCTCATTGACCTGGGTGCTGGGTATATAGGAATTTGTTTTACTATTGTTCTTTACACTTCATACACATGTACATACGCTTCTGTATATACCATACATTTAATTCAAGAAACAAAAAGGATGGCGTGTGCTCTAACTCTGTCCCCTTTCTCCATCCAATTCCCATTCTTGTCCTCAGCTGGCAGAAGAGGGGCTGCTATCCCTCACCACAGTTCCTTTCTGTTTCTGAGTGGGTCAGAGAAATATTGGGAGGGGAGCCCTCACCTCTGCAGCTGGGCCCTGGCCACGCTAGGTTTCGCCTGGGGAAAGCAGGGCCAGGAGAGGCCGGCTGGCTCTGCTGTTTCTGCCAACTCTGGGGATTAGGCCAAGGCTCTGGCCCACCTGTTGTCTCACTCATTCAGCATGAACATAGCCACTGAGTGCTTACCGTGAGCACTGGGTGCTGTAGGGAGGTTTCAGATAAGTGAGAAATGGTCTTTGACCTCAAAGATCTGACAATATACTCAGAAGGGATCGCATATACAAAAAACTATGGTACAGGCAAAATGTGAGCTGAGTGTCACATGACTATCCACCTACTCTTTCAATAAACATTTGGTAAGCACCTATTATGCACCAGGAACCATGCTAGATGGTGAGCATACAGAGGCAGTTAAATCACAATCCTGGCCCTTAAGTTCTTAGCCTAATGTAGGGGAAATAGACACATAAATGAGATAAATACAACAGTGGGGCAAGCCTGCTGATGTAGCTATGCCCAAGGAGAAGCAGGAAGGGGCCCCACTCAGGATGGTTGGGATGGCGCCAAAGAGTGGAGAAGGAAGATCTTCCTGAGGGAGATAGCTCCTGAACTGAGGCATTAGGGATGAGGAGGCAAGGGTAAGACAAAGGGCTAAAAGGACATCCTCCACAGATGGACCAGCTGGGACAAAGGCACAGGGATAAGAAACAGCACTGGAAGGACTATTTGCAGCTGCAACAGAAGTCCTTGGTGGGGTTGGGGAGAGGAGCCACTGGAGGGGAAGACAGGGGCAGATGAGTCCCATTTGCCTTGCCAAACCTTAGCTCTTATAGGTGCTAGAAGCCCCAGAAGGATTTAGGGGGAGCTTGGTAGTTCACTCTGGCCCAGTATAGAGGAAGGGCTGAGAGGCGTGGATTCAAAGAAAGCAGGCAAGTTGTCAGGTTGTTGTAGATCCAAGAAATATTTAGACAGGCTAGCTGTCTGAGCGTGAGTGAGTGGTGGGTGTAGGAAAGGCCGGTTTTAAGAACAAGTTCTCTGCCAGAGTGACCAGGTAGAGCACACACAGGGAGAGGCAGGCTCCCACCGGGAACTAGTGTGGCTCTGGGCTCTGGGTACTGGAGAGCACTAAGTGTGCGCAGAGGAAGGGGACAGCTAGAGATGTGGATGGGACTCTGCGCCATCTGATCCCAGGGCTCCCAAATGCTGTTCTGTGAACTGGACTGGCCTGAGAAAGTGAGGAAAACATGGGCATGTAATGAGCTTCTTAAAAGTCAAATGTATGCACTTTAAAGAACTATCCTTAGAAATGTCTGCAATTAAATCAATAAGTAAGCGTATCACTTAGAAAAGCACAAAGTGAATCACCAAAAGAAATTTCTTAAATATTCAAAAGTGGTTTCGTCCAGTGGGGGTAATGGAAGGTTTCTTTTTTTAAATAAGCCTTTTAAACTATCATTTTAAAACCCATGCACATAAAACATATACAAAAATTTTAAAAAATGACTTGTTTTGAGTCCTACTTTTTTTAATTGCTGAAAGTGGCCTTTCTTGCAAAAAAATGATACAAGATATAAAATAACCGGCTCTACTTTTATTGTTTTTTTTTTTCCCCTTACTGTCCTCATTTGGCAAAACAGAACGTCACTGAGCCCTGAGCATCTTGAACTCATTGGCCGGGAGCCGCCAGGACAGCACCGGGCAAAGGCCAGAACACCGGGCTCTGAGCGCCTGCGACCCTGCAGGCGGCCAGCAGGGGTCAGGCGAGCTCCACGCAGGACTCGCTGAGCCGCGCCCGAACCCGAGCCGGAGCCGGAGCCAGAGAGCTTGACCAAAGCTCCGCGACGCGCGATGCTTCGGGGGATGGGGACAGAGGGAGGACCCTGAACCTACCTTTAACTGGGAGTCGCGACTAACCGCCGCCTAGGTCCTGGGTCCAGTCTCCGCCCGGCGGAACGTGAACTGGGCGGCCCTCCCCAGCCCCCACGCCGCGTTGACACCAGCTCTGGCTCCACCCAGCGTCTGGGCGGGGCTGGTTTGCCCGCTGTTTGTTTGCCTAGCCTCCCCTGGTCAACTCACCTTACCCATCTCTTGGAAGGGGGCCCCGTACAAACGTGTCACGCCCCGGGTTGTCTCGAAGATCAAAGAGCTAATACGTCAAAATGAGATTTGAGAGGGCAGCATAGGTAAGGGATTCCCATTACTAGACTATATGGGTTTAGCATTGGGACTCAGGCCTCTGGGGAAGCATCCTCTCAGCCCAGGTCAGTTGTTCTAATAGGTTGCCTGTGCCTCAGAATTATCCCTGGAGATTGATTAGGTCTGGGGCCAATCCAGGAATCTGCATTTTTTATAAGATGCCAAATTCTGATAAAGGGTGTGCCCAGACAACACGGAGAGCCATTCCCTTAGGCCGTTATTATAGAGGGCAAACAGTAGGAAAACAGGGATGCTTGTCAACAGGGGAGCTGGGCTGATAGTGACCTGCTTAAAACTGGAGTGGAATTAGAGGCAGACCCAGGAAGGACTAGCAGTGGCTGCTGTAGAGTTGCACAATGCATATAAACAACCAAAAACTCCACAAGAAACAGTGGAAGGGCCCCCTGCCCTTCCATTCATGACTCAGGCTGGGTTTTTTTTTGGGGGGGGTACTTTATTTTTAAACATATCTGTTTCACATATAGCATCAGAACGATCACTTTCTCCCTAAGTTGGTGGCAGGCTTCAACCACCCCCACCCCGCCTCACTGGAAAAAACATCCCAGTCACATTCTGAATGTCTCCAAGCCTGTTGTTCCAGCCACACGCTAAAGGCAGCAAGGCCACCATTTTAGCCACATTCATTTCCAACATAACAGGAGGCAGGGTGGGGGAAGTGAAGGAGCAGGGCCATAAGCCCTGGGTCTTCTCCTCAGGCTAGAACTGTGCTAGTGTAGGTATAGAATAGCACTTGCCTATACGGGCCAGAACCAAAAGTCAGAAGACGCACTGCTGAGCTGAGTGAGAGCCAAGAAAACCAATTCTCTTTCAGGGAGCTTAGATAGGAGTGGAACAACCCCAAAACGTTCCACTCTGACTATGCTCCCTCCAGGCAGCTGTGCAGTAGGGCCTGAGGCTGGCCCCAAGAGGTTCTCAGAACCCCTATTTCTGGTGATCTGAATTCTAGCTCTAACTCCAACCTTCACAAAATCAAATTGTCTTGATTTTTTAAATAAAAACATGGAGATAGTTTCCAGAAACTTAGGAGTTTCCTTTTAGCTCTACCACTCTGGGCTCCCTCCTTCCTTTAAAACTCCCTGGGAGCTCTGGAAAAGGGAGGCTGAGAGTTCCTCTCTCCTAAAGGCTGATTCCAACCCTTTGTCCTTAACGAGTATACTGGAGGGCAGGAGCAGGACCTGGATCAGCCACTCTCCAAAGACAAGGGGCCGGAGCCAGACAGGAGACAATAGCCAGTCGATTGCTTCTCCCTCAAAACCACCAGTGTAGAAGCAGATGTTTAATACAAAATGGCAGCAGCTGCTGTGCAGCTGTAACAAAATTAGCCATAGGGTGTCCAGAGAAATGTACACAGGCAGCCTTGGCTGGAGTCGAGCCAGACAATGCAGGACTACTGTCCAGTAATCTGTGGGCTGTCGCATGGCCAGGACTGAACAGTGGCGGTGGGAGAGCAATGCCAAAGGGCTCAGAGGTGCTGCTACAGAGGCCAGTATTAAGATGACCCTTCATGAGCATGCTGGCTTCTGCTCCACAGTGGACTCTGTATAACACAGGGGTTCTGAAATGCCCATTCCCAAAGTTGTATCCAATATGGTGGGATTTCAGCCCTACAACATGAAGCCCTGGAGGAACAGATGGGCTGCTGTAGGGTGAGCCCTTGCTCATAAGTTGCTGGTTGCTGATGCCTCTCAAAATCAGCAGAAACAAGGGCTAGATTTTGGGAGGTTTTCCCCTGAAAGAGGCTACCAAGTTCAAATAAATGGACAGGGTCAATGTTTGCGGTATACTTCAGCAGAGGGCTCCCTGCCACGGGCTCACCCAAGAAAAAAGGGTAGCCGCTTGCCTGCCCCAGGTGCCCACCCTGGAAGGTGGGAGGCATCAGGTTTGGAAGTTAGAGAACAAGAACACAGAGTCACCAAAGCCCATCCCAACCAGCTCCAGAAAAGCCACTATGCTTCCTGCCAAGTCCATTTTAAACCACTGAATGCTTTTCCTGGGCTGGCTACCTGGCCTGGCTCTAAGGCCCATAGTGCTTGGCAGCTGTTGTGGAGAACTCAACCAGGCCAGAAGGCTGATGCAAGAAGGGCAGCTGAACAGCAGGGCCTGCCTCTGGCAGAGTGTTGCCACACCTCTACTTCCAAAGGCCTCTAGGTGCTGGGAAGAGAGGTGAAGGGTCTTGGGGTTAGTGGAAGTCTTTGTTGAAGGCTCTGCCGATGATCAGCCGCCTTATCTCACTGGTCCCACCCCCAATCTCATATATCTTGGCATCTCGCAGAAAGCGGCCCATGGGAAAGTCGTTGATGTAGCCATTGCCACCTGTAGCCGGGGTTTGGGGAGAGAAGAAAGGACAACAGGAAAAGTGATCAGTAGTGGACAAACAGAATTCCAAGGATATAGAAACAGGCCAAAAGAGGAGAGATTGGTTAAAGAGAAGCAGCAAAAGATGGCAAGCAGGAAGAGTGTGGGGAATACCTAGTTGGGAAGTGGGTGGACAAGTGGCTGGGAGACCACCCAGAGTGCGGAGGATAACAGGCAGGGAGAGGGGATGACCACTGGCAGACATGGAGAAGGGGTACAGACAAGGAGATACTGAATAGCACTTACTGAATGCTAGGCCCAGAGAGGTGAAGTAATTTGCACAAGACACAAAGCCAGCCAGTGGTAGACCCAGGATTCTAACCTGGGCCACCTGGCTTGAGTCTGTGCACTTGACTCCTGTGCACCATTGAAACGAGGCTGTCCTACCTCTGAGGCATCTCTCTCTGCCCACTTCCCAGTGTCCATTGGACCAGGAGGTGGGGGTGGATGAGAGCGGAGCAATGCTGAAAGTAGTAGCAATTTATGGCCTCTAGCAGTTTTCTCATTTGCTTTTACATATCCTCCTCGCAGGTGGAGCAGGAAGAGCCAAACAGCATCAGCTCAGCTGCAGCTAGCTGAAGCTCAGAGGGGTAAAGAGGAAACCTCTGGAAGCGTGGGTAGCCCTGGGAATGGGGAGTAGGGGCTACTTACCAAAACACTGAATGCCATCCAGGGCCACCTGTGTGGCACACTCAGCTGAGTAAAGAATCACACCTGCACAATCCTGTGGAAGGAGGCCAGGGGTCAGCAGAGCCCTGCCAAGGCCACACAGAAAACGGGTCCCAACAGCTGGTCCACTGCCTCCTCTGGGCTGGCCCCTACCTTGGCGGTGCAGTGGCCTTCATCACAGGCCTTGGCGACATTGTAGACATACTGCCGACATGCCATGAGGCGGGTGTACATGTCAGCCATTTTCCCCTGCATCAACTGGGCACAAAGGGAGGTCACAAGTCAACATGCTGAAGCCACACTCCTCTCACTCTCCCTAGTTACTGAAAGCAGGTCAGCAGTAACAACCTGACAGCCAGGAATGAGGAAGTCAGGGCACGGAAAGGAGATGGGACTTGCCCAGGATCACAGAGATGTTAGTGGGTCTGGACTTAAGGCAAGAGGGCCTTGGACACGCTGAGATGGCCCTCTACCCACTACCACCCTCATTAATGTCCTGCAGCATCTTCAGACCAGAAAGTGATTAGAAATGCCACCCCTTTCCCGCATGCCTCCCCACAACCTGCACACTTTGCCTTCCACCCTTACAATGCCTAGTTCATTCATCTCAAACAGGAAGTGAGGTGACACGTGACAACTTCCAAAGCTAGGTGTGCTGAAGAAGGCTGTATTCCAAGCATTCAAACACATTTTCTTGGGGAAGGATAATAAATGCCCCATAGCACATGCCCTATGTACTCATTTGTTAACGAAAACTTGAGCCCAATGACAGTACATTTCAACAAAGCATTCCACTCACCTGGAAGTGGCCGATCTTCTGGCCAAAGGCTTCCCTCACATGCAGGTAGGGAATGGTGTGGTCAAGGACGGCCTGCATGAGCCTGTGGAGAGGAGAAAGGGCTGTGCCTTGCTGTCCTCCCACTGCCAGTCGGGGTGGCAAAATGCCAGCATGGAAAGGCCTTAGGGGGACAGTTCAGTGAGACAAGGAGGTGGAGTTCTAGGGAAGAGAAAAGGAGTGTGAGGACGCTTGTCACCCCTGCTTAATCACTGCACTGACTGCCCAGGACTTGTGCCCTGTCCCCCAAGACCAGACAGAGTAGCATGACCCCGGCATAGAGGGGACTTAGAGCCCTGGCATCCTATTTCACATCTTGGGTAACTAAGCAGTATTGCTCCTCTGGCCTTCACCTAATGATCTTTCCCTTTATTTTTATTTTATTATTTTATTTTATTTATTTTTGGGGTAAGCCAACCCTTGGTTGACCTCACAGATTGCAAGGACCTTGTCAGGTTACAATCCCTTTTTTTTTTATTTTTTTACGCCTACAGCACCTGGTCTTCCTAGGTGGTCTCCCATCTGAGTACTAACCAGGCCCCAACCCTGCTTAGCTTCCAAGATCAGATGGGATCAGGCTTGTTCAGGGTAGCATGGCTGTAGACGTGATTTTTCCCGTTAGTGTGAAGAAATTATACGAGGGAGGAGGAGATTCTTTTTGTCTCCAGTAGAGAAAGTACATCTGCCAGAAGGTGTTGACTCACAAGGGGACGGCTGCAGCTGCTGTTTGCAAGGGCACCACTTGCCAAGGAGGCCAAAAGCCCTGTCTCCCACTGAAACTCACACTCACCCAAGGGGCCCACCAGCCAGCACCAGCCGCTCCAGGTCCAGCCCAGTCATCAGCACGTAGACACCCTTATTTAGATGGCCCAAGATGTTGTCAGCTGCCGGGGAAAGTGCTGGTCAGAGGGAAAAGGGCCGTCCACGAATTCCCTACTTTTATAAAAGCTACTAGGGTTGGCACCATGTCTCTCACACAAGGCACTAAAATATGTCACCTGACCAACTAGGGTTCTGGGTAAGATTGAAGGGTGGACTTCACCATTCCCAGTCAGATGTAGAGCATGCTGGATGGATCCTACCACCACCACATACACACCATCCAGAAGACCAGACACAAAGGCTCGATCGTCAGATCTGCCTCTCCTCTCCCTCCACTGCCTTGGATGAGAAAGAAGAAAAGCTAATTTGGTCTAGAAGTCATCCAACCCCTTCCTAGTTTTTCTACACTTGTGTCCATGATTACTTTTTCTCCCAGGTCTAGCCTGTTCTGATCCAGTATCACCCACCTGCTCCTCTCCAAGAGTGGTCCATGGAAGAATCTTTGTCCAGGAGATGGGCCATTCAGCATTAGTGACAGAAACTGCTGAGCACCTCTCTACCCTGGAAGCCAGGACCCTGGATGGCCCTGGAGTTTTTTCCTGACAAGGATCTGTACTGGTGTTTTAGCATTGTTAATGAACACTTCACCAAGGCTATATAGGGGAACACACAAACAAGGATGTCTGAAAGACATTATGGGTGAGGGCAGGTCTTATCTTTCTACCCCAGATCCTGGAATCTGACCCCTGGCAGCATACTATTCACACAAGGAAACACCACCTTTCATCGTAGCCACAGTCAGGCATACCAGAATAGCTACCAGCAGCCCCAGAGTTCCACTTGTATGGGCCAGTGGGCAAGGACAGCAGTGGCAGGCTCACTGTCTAGCCACAAGTCATTGGTAAGCTAACAATGGGGAACCTCTCCAACCCAGAGATGGGCTTTCTCAGCTTATGAAGGTGTCAAGACAGGGGCTCACCCTTTTTCAGACTCACCTGGAACCTTGCAGTCTTCAAAGATTAGCTCACAGGTGTTAGAGCCCCTCATCCCCAGCTTGTCCAGTTTTTTGGAGGTGCTGAAACCAGGCATACTCTTTACAGAAACAAGAGGTGGCTTTGATTACAGACCAGGTCCCCAAGGGGGCCTAGTAAAGGGAAGACCCCTGAAAAATGCCCACCTTCCCATCCAGTCCCTGTACTCGAAGGCACAGCAGCATCCTACTCCCAGGGCCCCGACCCTGTATGCGACTGCTCCTCTCCTGGAAGCTCCGGCCCTGACACTCCACCTCGACCCCAGCCTCCTCTGCTGCCAGCTTGTGTTCTCCCCACTTCACACAGGAGCGGTTCTCTCTCAAACATCTGATCCCTGGGGTCCTCTTGACCCTTCCTGGCTTTGTTTCCTTTCCTTAGGGAAATCACTTCCAAGACACACCCACCAGCTCATTCAATTCCTTTGCCCCCTTGTTCCTCTGCTATATGTACCTAATTGAGTCTCACCTGGGATAAATTTAACCACCTGTGTGCTTTGACCTGGACTAATCAGATGCAGTGTGAGTTGGCAGATGCCTGGCGGAGCGCACGGGATGCTCCCCTCACCTCCTGGCTGATGAAAATGGTGTTAAACCACCTTGAACTTCCTAATCTTAGCCAGGCCCTTTGGGCTACTTACTTCTCTTGCCCTCCAATCCTAGTTGGCTACTCTCCCTCTCCCTAGGGAGTGTACTGCCAACCTCTAGGACACTCACTCACGAAACTCTACCAACTCCCCCACCCCCATGGTCCCCAGCCCTCACAGGTGCCCTGGTCTCCCACCTCAAAGTCATTAGATACATGTTCCCCCATCACCTATAAACCAGCCTTAAATCGTCTCTCTAAACTCTCCGTTGTGTTTTCTCTCTCTCTCCTATTTTCTCTCTCTCCTATTTTCTTCTCTTTACCAAAAAATTTGTTCAGTTCTCTCCCATTTTTAAAAACAAAGTCCTAACTTTTCATTCTAACGCCTGCTCATCTCCCTCTTGCTTCTACTGTCAAGATTCAGAAGGTACAGTCTTCAGTGTTCACTCGCATTCCCACTCCCAGCTCAGTCTCCCATAGCTGCTCTCAGCACCTCCTGATGACATCCTCACTGTCAAATCTAGTTGTCTCCTTTCAGTCCTCAACTTCCTGGCCCTCTTTGTGTGACCTGGCTCTGTGGCTGGCTCCACTGATCTCAGACTTGAAGCATCTTCCCTGGATTCTATTTTTTGGCCACCCTCCTTTCAGTCTGCCCTTCTGCCTCACCCCCGCCCCAGGGAGCCCTGGCAGAGTACACAATATTGACCGTGTTTGTGATCAATGAAGGGATCTGGCACTGGCAGCACTGGCAGGAAACAAAAGCCCCCTGCTGTGCAACCCCCCCCCCCACACACCCACACACTCACCTTCTCCACAATGAAGGCTGTGATACCCCGAGAAGCTGGCACAGCAGTGAGATCTGTCTTGGCATAGACAACAAGGATGTCAGCATCGGGGCCATTGGTGACCCAGAACTTGTTGCCATTCAGGATGTAGTGATCTCCTAAGAACAGGAATTTGGCTACTTACTCTAGCTGTGTTGGCCCATCTCAGCCAGCTAGTCCACAGACCTGCTGCTAAGCAGGAAGCTGCCCAGCTGGGAAACAGTTCTGGAAACCTAGCAGAGGCTACCCTCAATTATTGCTCCCTTACCCCAAGAAGGTCTGTCCCTCTGCCCATTTCAGCTCCTAAGTCAAGAGAGGCCTCACCTGTCTTTTCTGCTTTTAGCTTCATGGAGACAACATCAGAGCCAGCATTGGTCTCACTCATGGCCAGGGCTCCAATGTACTCACCGCTGATGAGCTACAAAGAAAATCCCAAAGGGCCTGGTTACGTCTTCAGAAGTACTTACAGGAACTCACAGATACTGCTTGCCTGTTCATATGACCCCTTAAACGTCTCTCCAGACCAAGGTATTAGTAAAGTCCTATAAGAGAAGCTGAGTATCTACAAGGCTGAAAATCTCTCTCCTTTTCCCATTCTCTGTGCTAGGCAAGCAAGTCCTAGTCTTCCATTTCTTAAAAGTGCTCTCTGCAAATGTTGTCCAGTGAAAAACTCAGGAGGTCTGGCCCAATTTTTAATTTTTTTGACTGAAATATTTGAAAGCAAATCCTTAACCCCTTCCTAAACTAACCATATCTGGTTCAGGACAGCATGCTACAGAAAGCAAGTCTGACCAGACCTTGCCAGTGTGGTTCATGGCTGGTGATTACACCATGAGATCAGCATGTGTTTCTCCATTCCCATTTCCTCACCTTGGGGAGGTACTTCTCCTTCTGGGCATCATTTCCATTACGCACAATTTGGTTGATGCAGAGGTTGGAGTGAGCACCATAACTGATTCCCACTGCTCCAGAAGCTCGGGATATCTCCTCCATCACCAGCACGTGTTCCAGATAGCCCAGGCCAGAGCCACCATACTGGGCTGGGGGTGGAAGTTGTTCGGGAGAGTGGAAAAGGCAGCCCAGATTAAACTATGACCTTGACAGGAACTTTACATTTATTAGCAGCAGGGAAACACCTTTGTAGCACCTATTCAAAGTTCCCCCAGCAAATTCAACAGGCGAATGCCATGGACCCTGCTTACAAACACACAGAACTGGTTTTGTCTGCTGCCTCTGTCAGCTAAGGTGTGGTTCAGAAAACAGTCATTGCAGCTCCTGCTTTATCCAGACAGACCTCTTAAGACAAGAGGACCTGAGTACTCACTATTTGGAAAGCTACAGAAGTGCAGAGGCAGATGAATAAATGAAGAAAGAGGACTTGGAGTTTTACTAAGAAACACACGCTGATCAAAGATGGAGGATCAAAGCACAAGGAATAGATACAAAGCAAAGAATGTGTGTGTAAATAGCCTGAGGAAGGCGAGAGTTACATAGCATAGATTTGGACCTAAAGAAGCAGGACTATCAAATCAACATGTTGTATACCATAAACTTACACACTGTTCATTATATGTCAATTATATCTCACTGATAAAAGTAAAAAAAATAATAATAATAAAATAAAATAAAAAGCAAGATTAGTAACAGAGGACAGGAGAACCATAGTCTGAGAGAAAATTGGGACAGCAGTACAGCAGAGGGCAGAAGAGATGCTGGCAGGGAGTTTCAGAACTCCTCACAAAAAACATGCCTTTTCCTTGGCAGCAGATCCAAAACCTAAGTGGCTGGGTCATCTGGTATCAATCCCCTGCCCTGCTGTTTGGGTAAACCCTGGGAGGCCTTCTGCACATGTTCACTCTGACCAAGAAGCTCCAGAGAAAGGTTGGCCTGACTCCTGCAATTCTGGGAAGGAAAGCCCACAGGTGGATGACACTGTAAACAGCTACCACGACAACTATGTGGAAACCAGAACTCATATCTGGCTTTCTTTTCAAGGTTCCACCTTGGAAGGATTTTCATCTGATTTCTAACTGCCTCTTTCTTCCATTAAATACTATCTGATTCAGAAGCATCTTCTCTATGTGCGTTCACAAACTCCCAAAAACACAGTGGAAGAAAGAGTCTTGTTTGGGAGTTCCCAGTGGCCTTCCCCCTATCATCTTCCATTAAGATGGTCAAATTAATTTTTAAGTGGTTTCATTTTTATCATTACTCATGATGTAACTTTCTATGATAGGCTCAAAACCCAGAGCTGTCTCCAAGTGGTGGGGGGAAGATGTAAGGACAAGTATATCGAATTCCACCTCTATTTCAATGTCCAGTGAATACAAGTCAAAGCAGGGTATTCCATTCAAGCTTTGTCTGGTGAGGCCACCGGCTCATCTATTTACTGGGTACTGCAAGCCAGGCTGTGCCTCTCCTTCACAGGCCAACATCCAAACCAGAGCCCACCAGCCCCTTGCCCTTTATCCCTGGAAAACAATAAGACCCACAGGGGACACAGGACAGGCCCAGGGAAAGCCTATTAAACGCATCATCTGGCCACCACATGTGGAGGCTCAGACACAAGCATCCTTCTCCTCCGCACTGCTATCTGCTCCCAAATGAGCTCCAGGGCCAAGCTGTGGGCAGAGGACATAAGCAGTCCCCACAGTGACATATCTATCCTGAGTAGTCGTACCTAGATGCTACTAGTAGGGCAGAGCTTTGAGATTAGGGGAGGCAATAACACTGAGGTACTAAGACAACTACCAGAATCACCTGGAGGAACTTATTAAGCATGCGGAGTTCAAGAGTCTGAGTGATCCTGATCCAAGTAATAAACCACACTGACCTAATCTGTCTTATCAAGGTCACTGCCTAAAGAAACAGAAGAGTACAAAGAGAAGGACGTAGTCTTCTCTCGGCTGACAGTCGTCCATGGTCACTTTCTAGATCCAAGGGATGAAAGTTCTGGGTTTCTATGAGCATAATCCCC